TGACTGGAAGAGATCCATATTTGTAACCATTCCAAAGAAAGGTGATCCTACAGAATGCGGAATTATTGAACAATATCGTTAATATTACACACAAGTAAAATCTTACTGAAGATAATTCAAAAACAGTTGCAGCAGTATATTGACAAAAATTCCAGAAATGCAAGCTAGATTCAGAAGAGGACGTGGAAGGAGGGATAGATATCATTGCTGATGTCAGATGGATCTTGGCTCAAAGCAAAGAATACCAGAAAGATGTTTACTTGTGTTTTATTGACTATGCAAAAGTATTCGACTATATGGATCATAACAAATTATAGATAACATTGAGAAAAATGGGAATTCCAGAACACTTAATTGTACTCATGAGGAATCTGTACATAGACCACGAGGCTGTCAGTTGAACAGAACAAGGGGATACTGCATGGCTTAACATCAGGATGGGTGTGTGTCAGGGTTGTATCCTTTCACCATACTTAATCAATCTGTATGCTGAGCAAATAATCCAAGAAGCTGGACAATATGAAGAAGAACGTGGCATCAGGATTGGAGCAAGACTCATTAACAACCTGCGATATGTAGACAATACAACTTTGCTTGCTGAAAGTGAGGATGACTTGAACACTTACTGATGAAGATTAAAGACTACAGTCTGCAGTATATTTTACACCTCGATATAAAGAAAGCAAAAATCCTCACAACTGGATCAATAAGCCCCATCATGATAAATGGAGAAAAGATTGAAGTTGCCAAAGACTTTATATTACTTGGGCCCTGGTAGTGTAGTGCCTAAGGCACTTAACTGCTACTCAGAAGGCCAGTGGTTCAAATCCACCAGCCACTCCTCGGAAGGAAGGCTGGGCAATCTACTTCTGTAGTAATAGCGCCTCAGAAACCCAAGGAGGGGGCTATGAGCCGGGTCCGACTCTACGGCACGTAACAACAACAACAACAACAATCTACACCAGTGGAAGCAGCACTCAAGACATCAGATGACATATTGCATTGAGCAAATCTGCTGCAAAAGACCTCATTCAAGTGCTGAAGAGCAAAGATGTCTCCTTGAAGACTAAGGTGCACATAACCCAAGCCATGGTATTTTCAATCGCCTCATATGCATATGAGAGCTGGACAATGAGCAAGGAAGACTGAAGCAGAGTTGATGCTTTTGAGCTGTGGCGTTGGTGAAGAATACTGAAAGTACCATGGACTGCTAAAAGAACTAACAAGTCTGTCCTGGAAGAAGTGCCGCTGGAATGCTCCTTGGAAGCGAGAACAGCCAGACTTTGTCTCACCTACTTCGGTCATGTTGTCAGAAGAGACCATTCTCTGGAGAAGGGTATCATGCTTAGTAAAGTGGAGGGCTTTCTTTATATTGAAATGTAAAATATATTGCAGACAAAAAAGGGGAAGGCCCTCAACAAGATGGATTGACACAGTGGCTGCAACAATGGGCTCAGGTATGGCAAGGATTGTGAGGCTGGCACAGGACTGGGCAGTGTTTTGTTCTGCTGTGCATAGATAGGGTCGCTGTGAGTTGGTGATGACTCAACAGCACCTAACAACAACAAGAGTTCCTGTAAATAGTAAATAAAAAACAACAGAAAAATATTAATATTTGAATTAATACTGCCCAAAATAGACCCCCAAAACTCCCGATCAATGCTGCATTCCCCTACACATCAATATGAAAACATGAGTGGAGAGTGATACAAAGTGAATAGTCAATACAAATGTCTATTTCTATTTAAAGCATCTTCTGTGCATAGGTTTCACTGGTTACAATTAATCCATAAATAATCTCTGAGACCCAGAGAGGAAAATATATCAACCTTGGAAAACAAATTCTTAATTTTTCTATGGGGATTTTTTCATAAGGATAATATATAAGTGATTCTGACAAAATTAGGACATGACTCTGAACATTAAAGTTTATTTTTTAGTGTGATGATCTCTGTATTCTCTGGAGATCTACCAATTTATTTACAACATTTCAATTTCCAGGTACCTGAAAATAAAATAGACCATAACAAAGCTGTATGGGAAAGAATTTTAAAAACTTCTAGGACAGTTGTAGGAAAATCATATTGATCGTATTTTTGAAAATCAAACTGTAGATAATTGGACTTTGTTTAAACTGTCACTAACAGATTGATTTGGGGGAAGCATTACTGTTCTATCTGTACATGATGGTTAATGTGATGTCAACTGGGCTGGGCCAGGATCCTCAGTGATTTGGCAGACACTATGTAATCACCTTCCACTCAGTGATCTGACATGAGCCGTCAATCAGTTGAAAGGGGAGTTTCTTTGTGGGTGTGTCCTGCAGCCAGCATATAAATGGATGTTCTGACAGAGCTCACCGTCTTTCTCTACCCTGCACTCTTCTTGTTGCCTGACCTCTGGTTCTTGGAACAAAAGCCTGCAGAAGTCTCTTGCCTACAGAAGTCACCTAACCTGCAGATTTTGAGTTCCTCAGCCCAGCCCTGCAGCCACATGAGCCTGCAGAGGCCTCCAGCTTGCTGCCTGACCCATGGATCTGAGACTTGCCACCCCCACAACTGTATGAGCCATTTTCTTGAAGTAAATTTGTCTCTCTATATTTACATATATGCTTCACTGGTTTTGTTCCTCTAAAGAATACAGCCTAAGACTGTGGATATGAATTAGGGTCTTACATGTTTAGAACATCTCTTTCGGCTTTCCTTACGGCAAGTACTACATTCTTGTTCAAATCTAAACCAAATTCACTGCCACCATGTTGATTTCGATGCATAGTGACCCCCATTGGGTTTCCAAGGCTGTAACTCTGTACGGAAGCAGACTGCCTCATCTTTTTTTCTGTAGAGCAGCTGGTGGTTTTGAACACCAGCCTTTTGGTTAACAGCCAAATGCCTTAACCACTACACCACCAGAGCTCCTTTAGCATTCACTTTACAAAGACAAGCAGAAAAATTTATTTGATTTCAACTGGAATGTGATGTCAGGTCATATACAAAAGGACTTGTGCTTCATATAACTTCCAAAACCCAAACCCGTTGCCATCAAGTCAATTCTGACTCATAGCAACCCTATGGCAAAGAGGAGAACCACTCCATAGGGTTTTGAAGGATGTAATTTTTGGAAACAAGCAGACTACCACATCTTTCTCCTGCAGAGTGGCTGGTGGGTTCAACCTGCCAATCTTTTAGTTAGCAGCCTAGCTGTTAACCACTATGCCACCAGGGCTCCTTGTCTTGCAACTTAAACCAAAAAACTAAACTCATGGCCATGGAGTCGGATCCGACTCATAGCGACCCCTCCGTGGGTTTCCAAGGCAGTATCACTACAGAAGTAGATTGCCCAACTTTCCTTCTGAGGAGTGGTTGGTGGGTTTGAACCACCAGCCTTCTGGTTAGTAGTCAAATGCCTAGGCACTACGCCAGCAAAGCTCCAGTCCTACAACTTAGTCAGTTACAACTCAAAAACAGAAAACTTATCTGTGGTATTTCAAAAGGGAGAGAGAAAAAAAGAGAGTGAGACGAGATTTTGAAGGAGAGATGGAGAACAAATGAGACATTGCTTAGACAAATCTCTTTGTATCTGGTGATAATACAACTGTATTGGGACTACCTTGGCTATCCCATATTAACCTCTAAACAGAGAGTAAAAGCCCTGCAAGGGCGCACTGGGTATCACAATGGGCACGTTTTAGAATGGAATTCTTCCATTTTCTTGCCATTCTTCACACTGTGAGCAAAGTACAAAGACCAAGTCACCTGCAACTTCAAACATGCCAACAGCCCTTCATATTAATAATCTCCCAGGTAGTTCAGATGAGGAAAACAAACTGTATAACATTACAAAAGTTTTTCCAAAAAAAGAAGCTGGTCTCTGTTCAGCTTGAGCCATAGTACAATTTTTAGCATTTTCACCTAGTTCATCTTCAGTTTGTAGTATGGAATCAAACTGTGTAATGGAATTCATACCACCTCCGTAAAACATGAGAACCTTCCACTGGGGATAAAAAGCCATGTCGACTACATGAATATTTTGCAATAGCCCCAGCATTACCCAGTCGTAACTGTGAATTGTCCAAACTTTGCTTCAGGTTGGAGCTCATACAGAAACTCAGGCCTTAAGTGATATGAGCCTGGGGAAGGAAAAGGAGAAAGAAAAACGGGAAAAATGGCCATTGCACTCACCTCCCTGCCTCAAACGTGAACCACGTGGCATCGCGTCCATACCGCCGCAGGGCGCTTAGCGGCCAAGAGATGAGTTTGACTCTGGGATTCTGGACGTCCCAAAGACAGATATGCTCATATGTAATCTGCAAGGCACATTCGCCATGTACATCTAAGTTAGGAGATGGCATCAAATACACATTGAATCTCTCTGGGAGAAAAACAAAAGGTTAGTCCAAAATCCCCAGGAATAAACCAGCAAAGACACTGTAGGAAAACAGAGGCATTTGAAAACAATTTAAGCTCACATTCCTCTCTACATTTTTGCTGAACATACAGGAGCATAAACCTCGCTCATAAATGACCAGTCCCAGGAAACGGGCTTTTAAACGCAGCTCATATTAAATAACGTAAAAATGACACGGTCTGGCTATGAGTATGCACTGAGCACTATTTACTTGACCAAAGACCATTTTTAGAATATTTCAATTTGCATAAGAAAAAAAACTGTACGTCAATAAAAGACTAAAGACATTAAAACCAATTTTTTTTTCTGCCAAGCACAAGTTAATTACACTCACACTTTGTGTTCACAAAAGATGCTGGTGCAGAATTATTATCTCATGGTTTAATGATTTTTAAGTTATAAGGATCAACTTATAATTTTCATAATTGAATAAAAAATTATATCCCAAATTATTGAAATAAGACTAGGCACTTATCTGACCAACAGTCTGGGAAAACACTAATGTACATTTTTGAACTAGTTTTAACAAAGATCTTTCTTGTAAGTCAAACACTGGGAAAAAATATTCATTTACTTATTTGGAAGATTTGTTATAATTTAAGATTACCCTGAATAAATTGCTTGGCTGATTTACTGCAACCAAATAGTCATCCCTACAAATTCAGTCATTTCTGTTACATTTCTAGAAAATCCAATCATTTAGGAAATTATGGAGTTAAAAACCCAAACTCACTGCCGGTGAGTTGAACCTGACTCATAGCGACCCCTCCTTGGGTTTCTAAGGCGGTATTACCACGGAAGTAGATTGCCCAACCTTCCTTCCGAGGAGTGGCTGGTGGGTTTGAACCACTAGCCTTCTGGTAAGCAGTCAAATTCCTTAGGCACTGTGCTACCAGAGCTCCTTTGAATGAAATAAGAACAAAAATATTATTACTATAACAAACACATTCCCCACCTACCCGATATTATGGTAGATTAACTACATCAAATGAAATAGTACTGCAATAAAATTTAATGTTAGTTTTATTCTAAATTAATTATTTTCATATAAGATAATTATATCACAATTTTCAAAGATTTTAGTTCATAAATAGGGCTATTAAAATTCTGTTTCTGGATTACTTTTCTGAATTACTTCAAATGCTCAATAACTGAATATTTGCTGCTTTCTAGTAACTATTACTTTTAAAATATATTTGTAATGGACCAATTTCTGGACCAAGTAAGAAAGACTGTCTTCATTCAGTAAAGAGTACAAGAGACCATTACCCATCTCTTTGCATGTTGTTGTTGTTGTTGTTATGTGTCATCGGTCAGGCCCGACTCATAGTGACCCCTCCTTGGGTTTCCAAGGCAGTATCACTACAGAAGTAGATTGCCCAACCTTCCATCCAAGGAGTGGCTGATGGGTTTGAACCACCAGCCTTCTGGTTAGCAGCAAGTGCCTTAGGCACTATGCTACCAGAGCTCCTATTTCTATAACTCTACCTGGCTCAAGAATAACATCAGTTAGAGTGGTGGTGACCATGATCATTTTAGTCAAAATCACTTGAAGCTATACAACTGAAAATTTTTAAAATGCCTTAAAAGACATAGTTGAGTTTATCATAATCCTTAGTAGTTATATTTTGCTGGTTCTTTTTATTCCCATTTGACAAACGAGGAAATGAAGGGACAGAAAACGGGCATGGCAAAGGTAACTCCTAGACACAGCTATTTCTTGAATTCATTTTGTGATCCTAGCAGGATACTGTCTCACAAGTATAAAGTGTGGAAATAAATGTGGATCTGCTCACTCTAGGTTAAAAAAAAAAAACAGTCATGTTTCTGCTTTATGTTCGGCATCATAGGTACTAGCCTGTGAACACTGTGAGTGCACTCTCTCTGCCCAGGGACACCTTGATGTAGTGGACTATTGGAGGAGGAGCTGATGGCTTGATCATATGACCTTGGATAAATGACTGAACTTTTCTGTAGCTCAATTTCACAGTCTACAAAAAGGCCCTCAGCATTAGCCAGCACTTTGAGGTCACGGCCAATAACCTTCCCATGGAGATAGATGACGGCAGACATGGTCCATCCAAATAGTCATGAGCTATAAATGTGTCATGAAGACATAGTTCCAGTTGGGACGGAGAGCATTTTTTACTAACAATTGGCGTGTGCTCCCACAGAAAGGTCAATACAATTCCACTTCTGCCGTGTTCATAATCAAGCCAGATGACCACAGAGCCCCTTCAGTTGTGATGTGACCTCATCATTCAAGTCAACCAGCTGAGGCTGAACTCGGTGATCCAATCTACCCTATCTCAAGGCTCAGTTATTTGCAGATAAAAAAATGATTCCTCACCTTCAGCCTCCTACTGGAAACCAACACTGGTGCTTCCAGAGTGCTCATGAATATTTTGGTTATTGTTTTTAAAAATATTTATTCCCAGTTTGGGCGTTTAGCTCAAATAGTTGGCTCAAGTGTTTGAGTGAAAAAAGAAATCACAGATTTAAGTAGGTTTAGACTTGTGAAAACATTCATGAAGTTTGGATTCTATTAAAAGCATTGGGAAGCTTTTAATAGGATTTTAAATTTAAAAAGGCAAGGAAAAAGACCACACTCTCCTGTTTGGGAGAGGAGTTTTTATTTCTCATGGAAACAGATTTCTAGATTCCAAACAAGTTGAGGTGATCCACAGGAGATACCCCGAAATGATTTTTGTACCTTGAGCCTTGAGAAAACTGATTTCTTAAAAGTCACTTATTAGTCAAACAATAGTCTAGCCTTACCATTGTGCTTTTTTTACAGAATTATCTATGTACAGTTTTGACAACAGAAACTCCTAAAGTCAGACTAGAAGCTGTACTTTAGGGTGAATTGTTATTATGTAAATACTATTCTGGCCCTGTTTCTACAGCAATGTACAATTAGGAGTGAAAGCTAGAAACTGTAAAAGAGTTTTCTACTTCAGAACATTTTTGACTTTCTGGTTGAAAATGTTACCCTGATTTGCGAATTATATATTATATAAACTTCAATCAAATTCTATTACTAGCTTAGAACAATTTAGTTTTAGGACTGTAAAATCCATATATTGTAAATATAGGGCTAAGAGTACAGTCTGAAATTGAGTACTAATTAGCTATTGAGGTAGGAACTAGGTCTCTACCTCCTCTAAGCTTCAGATTCCTCATGTGTAAGATAAGGGATGCCATAGTATGCACATCCCAGGGCTGCTGGGAAAATTAAAGAATCTATCAGAGGTAGGAGGTAAAGTGTCAACTACAGGAACAGGCACACAGCAGGATCCCAAAATCCTAGCCAATATCTTTAATGTAGGTCTATCTATATTTTACATTGAAAAAAATATTCGGAAAAGAAATTTACTAAAAATGTTAGCACAGTTTGTGGGTAAGATTAAAGATTATATTTACTTCTTTCTTCATATATTTTTATAACTTCAAAACTTGTACATAATGAAGATGTCTTGTGCTTGATTATATAAGGGAAGGCAAACACAGTTTAAAATGAAAGCAAAGAAGAGTTTTCTTTACATACCACTCTGTTCTCTCTCCACACCAGTAGCCAGTAAGTCAGGCTCTCCAAGGCTGATGTCATTGATCCGCGTCCCTATGCACTCCACCTGGAGCACTTTGCACCATTCATCAGCCTCAAGGTCTGTGGAAATGGCCAGAACATTAGCCTGTATGCCCAGCATCAGATAGAAAGCTAACCCAAAAGTCCCACCACCTCCGACAAACCTGATTCACAAGCAAACGTCTTAGAGGTTTCGTCATTGAAATAAATCCCTATGGCGTGCTTCTTGGTGCTCTTTGGCAACCGGGCAACATTCTTCACATTGTTGAGTTCCGTAACCTGAGAAACAAAGAATTAGAAGTTCTGATCATGCTCCTCCAAGTGAATGCTACCTGTCAGTAGCATGAAAGGAAGATGAGATGCAGAAGGCAGGAAAGCACGTTTCATGAGAAGACAACTTGACAGCAACGTGTCTCTGTATCTGATAGCTAGCAGTATTTAGGTGAATTGAGTGTTTTCCTTCATGTGTAGCAAGAATTGTTAACAAATTACCTTTCCTTATTAACTGTTCTAAAGAACATTATCTGGCACAGGGTCAGAAAGCTCATGATGTTGTTGCTGGGTGCCAGCATGTTGATTGGGATGCACCACAACTCCATGTAATGGTGCAGGACCACGCTATAGGGCTTCCTTGGCTGTAATCTTCATGGGAGGCGATCAGCAGGTCTTTCACCCACGTAGCCTCGGGGTGGGTTCAAACAGCCAAGCTTTTGGTTTGCAGCTGACTGTTTAACCAATGTGCCATCAGGTTTCCTTCAGTGTAGTCCTACAGCCTCCAAACAGTATCTTTTCAGAGGAATCTCAGTGTAAGTATGTTAAATACTAACCCGAGGAACAGAGGGAAGGGAGTTCCAGCTCATAACCAAATTATTTCAATCTCTGCCCTCAGACATGGAGTCCACAAGGTTTAAAAATGGTGCCTTATTCTGAGTCCCAGTCATAGATTCTAACACAGAGATCTGTAAAATACTTTCCCTCTCTCTGACTCAGCCCTTGCATTTCAATGGTTATGGCACTTCTATTTTAGAATCTGGGGACCTTGGGTGGGACCAATTTCTTCAGGGAAGACATGTCTCTATTAGACTTTCTCTTCTTCTTCTCTCCCACAGTCCCTAGGTCCCTGCAACACTTTTGTGAACACATCCCCTCTGACTAAGGGTGGTAGTTCATTTGTGTTGGTCTCTGAACTAGGTGTCCTTTTTTCAGTTACATTGGAATTCCTTGCTACACTTGAGACCAGCGGTAGTTGGGTCCTGCATGAGGGAAAGCTTGGGTGGCTTCAGGGAAGAGTATTTACAAGATAAATAGGCCTTTCACACTGACCAGTTTAACCTCCCAGGAGTATAGCTCTTTTGTGCTATTATACCAAAAAACGGGCCTTCCATCAATCTTTGCCTTCAGCTATGTTGTAAGGTTTCTTCCATCTATTATTCTAAATTCAATAAATGCCTGGCTCACAAAGTAGGCAGGGAGCAAAATAAATATCCTCCATGCACAGAGTAATCTGATTATTTCATTTCCCTGGTTCTTAACTTCCATCAGCTCTTTGTATACTAGAAATGCAAATGTATCAGCATGAAATATCATGCTGACACTCCTCAAAGCTGGCCAAGTCAATCCCTCCCACGACTCTGCACCACATATCTGACACTCTAACTACCTACCTCATGTCCCTCACAGTTCACCAGCTGCAACAGCTGTTTGTTTTTCAATTTAGTTAGTTTGTTTATTTTTGTGCCATCACCTTAATATAAGCCTCTGTTGTCTTGTGGCAACTCCTTATCAGCTTCTCCACTTCCAACTTAATTCCCTTTAACTCATTGCCCACACATGAGCCAGAATGACCTTCAAGGCCCTCTGTATCCTCCTCCCTGCCTCTCTTGTCCTATGCCCCAGCTGCAGCAGCCTTCGTTCAGTTTCTAAAAAGCACCATGATTCTCCTGGCACAAAGCTTTCCCCACTCTTCCTTCATGTAGGACATGTCCTACTTAACCACTTGGGTAAGACAGCACCCCAGACCTGCATGGTGTTCACAGGTTGTGCCCAATTTCTGGGCCACAGAGGCCATTAGAAAAAGGGCACCAGCAACTATCATGGATTTCTCCATCCATATCACGTCCTTCTATCAGGGCTCAACACATGGAAAGAAGCTCTTATTACTGACAAGAATCAGACAGCATACAAAAGGAGAAGTTCCATCATGTGTAGCTCCCCTCGACAGCTCTCGGGGCAGGGATGATGGCTCTTCCTCACACACCTCACTTTTGCCTTGTGGGAATAGCTTAAAAAGGACCATACCTACTGCTGATCTCCCCTTGGCCAGGTAGGTCCACTTAGGTGGACTGTAATCTTACGCTATGTGTGCCCCACAAGCACCACAGCTGAGAAGACCAAGACTTCCTCTCCCGGCTGTTTATGCCCCCAGCCTTAGTGACTAATTGTATCTGTTTAACTCTGCTGACAAACACTCTACTGCATAGTGCCCCCCTGACTTTCTGAGGAGGGGGTAGTTAGCCCAGAACTATACCTTTTTAACCTTGCTAACAAACATCAGACCTGCAGGTGGGGGGAGGGGGGTTGTTCTGAGGCCTAAAGATGCCAGCAGGGAGAAGAAGGAGAAAATGGCCACCTGGTTTACCTGAAAGACTAGCCCCTCACACTTTTCTTCACTCCCGCTTACCCTGCAGGTCTTAGTTTAAATCTGAGGCAAATGCCCTGACCCTTCTGGGCCCATCCCCCTGGAAAGAATCAGCATTAAAGAGCTATATCATCCAATATTATCCTCTCCCTAGCCTTCCTGTCTCTCATAGTCTTTTCTTTCTTTTTTTTTTAAATATTTCTTTTATTTTTGGTGAAAAATGCAGATCAAAACATGCACCAATCGACATATCAGATAAGGAAGGGGCTAATCTCCAAAATTTATAGAAAACTTCAACACCTTCACAATAAAAAATAAATAATCCAAATTAAAAAAAGGGCAGAGGACAGGAACAGACCTTTACCAAAGTAGACATTCAGGCAGCTAACAAACACGTGAAGAAATGCTCACGATCATTAGCCATTAGAGAGATACAACTCAAAACAACAATGAGATATCATCTCACCCCAGCACTAATAGCAAAACTCAAAAAACCAGAAAACAATAAATGCTGTTGAGGGTCTGGAGAGACTGGAACCCTTTACACTGCTGGTGGGACTGTGAAATGGTGCAAACATGGTGGAAAACAGTATGGCACTTCCTTAAAAAGCTAGAAATAGACATATCATATGATTCAACAATTCCACTACTAAGTATATGTCCTAGAGAAATAAGAACTGTGACAAGAACAGATATATGCACACCTACGTTCATCTCAGAACTGTTCACAAAAGCCAAAAGATAGAAACAACCTAAATGCTCATCAGCAGAGGAATGGATCAACAAACTATGGGACAGGCACACAGTGGACTACTGCAACATTAAAGAACAATGACGGATCTGCAAAACATCTCATAACGTGGACGAACCTAGAGGACCTTATGCTGTGTGAAATCAGTCAACCACAAAAGACAAATATTGTATGAGACAACTATTGTAAAAAGTCAAGAAGAGGGTTTCACACCAAAAGAAATATTTTTTGGTGGTTACCAGGGCTATGAAGGGAAGGAAGGGTACACCCGTAACTAGAGGGTAGACACATACTGCCTTGATGAAAGGGAAGTTAAAAAAAATGCACCCATTAAACGATTTCTATATTCACAGTTCAGTGACACTGGTTACCATCTTCACTTTGTGTCAGCAGTCTCAGCACTCTTGCTCGAATTGTTTCACCATCATTAACTTACACTCATGTCCCATTCACTTCTCATCTACGCTTTAGAGTCATTGCTGTCAAATTAAGGAACCCTGGCGGTACAGTGCTTAAGCACTCAGCTGCTAACAGAAAGGTAAGTGGCTCAAACCCATCAGCCATTCCGTGAGAGAAGGACTCAACAGTTTGGTTCTGTAAAGATTTACAGCCTTGGAAACCCGTGACGCAATTCTGCTCTGTCCTGTAGTGTTGCTAGGAGTCGAAATGGACTCGAGGGGAATGGATTTAGGGTATTGTCGATTTGATCTCATATTCTCAGAGCTCACATTCTTTACTAATTGAACTAAATTGCTATTTAGTTCAAAGATGACTTCAGAAGATACTTTTAGTTGAAAAATAAAGAGTATCTGAGGGCAATGGCTTTGAGTGTTCTTCTAGTCTCCGTAAATCTAGTTAGTCTGAAATCTTTAAGAATTTGAAATTCTGTTCCACATTTTTCTCCCTTTTGTTCAGGATCCATCTATCATGTCCCTGATCAAAATGTTCATGTCCCTCCTGGTCCTTTTATGGCCACGTGGGCTATTGGTTTAGTGCCTGTTCTCCTCTACAGCAGACTTTCCACAGGGCAGAATCAATGCATTTGTGACCACCATTTTGTCCGTAGATTCTAACACAGAAGCTATCATAGAGTGAGAACTCAATAGATATATGCAGACTTGGTAAACCAAAGGGCAACCTCATCCACAGATTTATTTCTATGGTGCTTCCACTGGCATGGTGGATGCCTTCTTCTCTTGCTCTTTTCTCTCTGAGGAAGCCCCTCTTAGCCTTCAAGGCCCATTTCCTCAAGAAAACTTGTCCTCTTCTTTATGTTCCCACATAAGTTTCATGACGCTCTATTCTACCATCTCTTGGTGAGATTGATCCGTTCCTCTGTCCAGCTCCCAGCCACACTTGAGTCACCTAGCAATGACGTATTAATGTACTGAATAAATGAGAAACAATCATATCCAGAGCTAACATCCTATTTCTATGCACCGTGCTTCATATTTTTACATAGAATGTCTCACTTGATCTGCACGAAAACCTATGAAATAGATACTACTGTGATCGGCATTTGCCAGATAAGGAAACAGGCTGAGGAACATTAACATGCCTAAGGTCACAGCTGGAAAATGATGGTACCAAGGTTTAAATGAGGCAACATGACTCCTAAACTAATGACTGACTCAAAAATCTTTACCTAGAGGACCTTGACAACCTGTTGCAGTTGAGTCGATCCCAACTCAGAGCAACTCTATGAGACAAGGTAGAACTACCTCATAGGCTTTCCAAGGCTATAAATCTTTACAGAAGCAGGCGCCACATCTTTCTCCCCCAGAGCAGCTACTGGGTTCAAATTGCAGACCTTTCAGTTAGCAGCTGAGTGCTTAGTCACTGTGCCACCAGAGCTCCTTTTAGAGGACCCTTGGGACCCTTGAAATTCACCTCCCATTAGAGGGACTCTTTCTTTTCAATGTGGTTTCTCTCAGCGGTAGAAACAGAACGTCAGGCTTTATTCCAGCCCTGCTAGTGAAACATTACATAAGAGTAGTCCACCCCAAGCTGAAACACAGCAATGACTTTGAAATTTGTCATTTCATTACACATGCATTAAGGTCAAAGAGGAAGCAATAAGTCATCTGAATCAGTCAGGAAATGCAGCGGGAATTGTGTGAGTCAGAACACAATTGCCCATTTTCCAAATTGGTTTAGGTAATAAGCAACTCAACACCTCAGGTCCAGGAAGGTGAGTGTTCACAGAGCAGGCAGGGGGGTGGTTTCCTGCGTCAGAGGACAGGCAGCTTCTAAAGCAGTGGTCTGTCTTCACATCGGATACATCCCAGCAAACACCCATGTGCACACACACACACACACCAACACACATATACACACACTTCACTATCAAATGAGTTGCAATCTAATAGAGCTTTCCTCAGTATGCTTGCTAAATGATCATTTTGATAATTAACATTTGCAGAGATCTTTACAAGTCATAAAACAAATCACAAATCATCTTTTTCCACCACCATTCCTTTTATGTAAATGAGAAAACAGAGGCGGGACATATGTTTTAATATCCCTTCCACAAAGAATTAATGTGCCCAGAAGAATCACTTTTGAAGCTAACGCAGGTTTTGCTAATATGATCTCAGATTCTGGTTGAATCTCAACATCTATAGAAATGGAGGCTACAGAAGCTAGTTGTTGTGGATTCAAATCCGACTCATAGTGACCTCATGTGACAGAGCAGACTGTCCCACACAGTTTTCTAGGCTGTTATCTTTATGGGAACAGATCTCCAAGTCTTTCTCATGTGGAGCCAGTTGTTGTTGTTGTTGTTGTTAGGTGCCATTGAGTCATCTCCAACTCATAGCCACCCCATGCACAGTAGAACGAAACACCACCTGGTCCTGCACCAGCTCCATGATCCTTGCTATACTTAAGCCTACTGCTGCCACCACTATATCAATCCATCTGCTTGGGGGCCTTCCCCTCTTTTATCAACCCTCCATCTTACCAAGCATGACATCTTTCTCCAGGGAATGGTCCTTTCTGACAACATGATCAAAGTAGGTGAGACCAAGTCTGGCCATTCTCACCTCCAAGGAGCATTCTGGCTGCACTTCCTCCAGGACAGATCCGTTAGTTCTTTTAGCAGTCCACAGTACTCTCAGCATTCTTTGCCAGCATCACAACTCAAAAGCATTAACTCTTCTTCAATCCCCCTTATTCACTGTCCAGCTCTCTCATGTATATGAAGCGACTGAAAATACCATAGCTTGTGTCAGGTGAACCTTAGTCCTCAAGGAGACATCTTTGCTCTTCAGCACTTGAAAGAGGTCCTTTGCAGCCAATTTTCCCAGTGTTATATACATCATCTGATGTCCTGACTGCTGCTTCCACTGGCATCGATTGTAGAACCAAGCAAAGTGAAGTCTTTGACAACTTCAATATTCTCCATTTATTGTGATGCTGCTTATAGGTCCAGTGGTGAGGATTTTTGTTTTCTTCACATTGAGATGTAATCTATATTGCAGACTGTATTCTTCATTCTTCATCAGTAAGTACTTCAAGTCATTCTCACTTTCAGAAAGCAAAATTGTGTCATCAGCATATCGCAGGTTGTTAATGAGTCTTCCTCCAATCCTGATGCCATGTTCTTCTTCATATGGTCTGGCTCCTCGGGTTATTTGCTCAGCATACAGATTGAATAAGTATGGTGAAAGAATACAACCCTGATGCACTGCCTTCTTGATTTTAAACCATGCAATGTCCCCTTGTTCTGTTCGAACGACAGCCTCCTGGTCTATATGCAGGTTACTCATGAATACAATTAAGTGCTCTGGAATTCCCATTCTTCTCAATGTTATCCACAATTTGCTATGATCCACACAATCAAATGCTTTTGCATAGTTAATAAAACACAAGTAAACATCTTTCTGGTATTCTTTGCTTTGAGCCAAGGTCCATCTGACATCAGCAATGATATCCCTTGTTCCACATTCTCTTCTGAATTCAGCTTACATTTCTGGAAGTTCTCTATCAATATACTACTGCAACCGTTTTTGAATAATCTTCAGTAAAACTTTACTTACATGCAATATTAACGATATTGTTCTATAATTTCCACATTGTGTGGGTTCACCTTTCTTTGGAATGGGTAGAACTATGGATCTCTTCCAGTCAGTTGGCCAGGTAGCTGTCTTCCAAATCTCTTGGCATAGCTCAGTGAGTGCCTCCAATGGGGCATCCTTTTGTTGAAACAACTCAGTGGGTATTCCATCAATTCCTTGTTCTTCCCCAATTCCTTCAGTACAGCTTCAACTTCTTCCTTCAGTACCATTGGTTCTTGAACATATGCCACCTCCTGAAATGGATGAAGATCGACCAGTTCATTTTGGTACAGTGACTCTGTGTATTCCTTCCATCTTCTTTTGATGTTTCCTGCATCATTCAATATTTTGCCCATAGAATCTTTCAATATTGCATCTTGAGGCTTAAAGTTTTTTCTCAGTTCTTTCAGCTTGAGAAATGCTGAGCGTTTTCTTCCCTTTTGATTTTCTAACTCCAGGTCTTTGCACATTTCATTATTGTTGTTGTTATGTGCCATCGAGTTGGACCTGACTCACAGCGACCCCCTCCTTAGGTTACTGAGGCAGTATCACTATGGAAGTAGATTGCCCCATCTTCTTTCTGAGGAGTTGCTGGTGGGTTTGAACTGCCAGCCCTCTGGTTAGCAGTCCAGTGCCTTAGGCACTACACTACCAGAGCTCCCAATATATATTTCATTATAGTAATTGGCTTTGTCTGCTCCAGCTGCTCTTTGAAATCTTCTTTTGAGCTCTTTTGTCTTCTCATTTCTTCCATTTGCTTTAGCCATTCTTTGCTCAGAGGCAAGTTTCAGAGTCTCTTCTGACATCCATTTTGGATTTTTCTATCTTTCTCATATTTTTAATGACCTCTTGCTTTCTCCATGGATGATGCTCTTGATGTCATCCCACAATTCTTCTGGTTTTCAGTCATTGATGTTCAATGCATCAAATCTAATCTTTAGATGGTCTCTAAATTCAGGAGGGATATATTCAAGGTCATATTTTGGCTCTCATGGACTTGTTTTAATTGTGGAGCCAGTATGAGTTCAAATCACCAACCTCTGGTTAGCAGCCAGGCTTTTAAGTATTATACCACCAGGACACCTTCCTACACAAACTTACCTGACCACTAAAAGTAACTATATCAGATCCTCAATACTACCTCAAAGTGGTTGAACTTCAGGGCTGTGTGCAAGGAATACTCCTTTAGTTCACCTCCACTTTGAATTTCTTGCCTTTTTTCTTATATCTCAGATCAACCAGATGTTATTTTCTGCCAAGCTCTAAACTTTTCTTTAAAAAGTCCTTCCTGAGTCTTTATCATTATAGATTTTATTTTTCTCTGGCAATGAAGAAAATACGCAGGCCCCAAACTCCACATGCATTATGCTTTTTTCACTTTGAGTCTGCCAAAACAGCTGAATCGCTATCAGAGGACTTTGTGTAGAGATTCACAGATTAAACACAATCATTTCTTCAATGTGTAACAATATTCCAAGAGGGAATCACTGAACATATCCCTCTCCAGGAATTCTTTCTGGCATGCATTCATTCATCAATGTTTGAAATCAATTCTTTATCACTTATTTATTGCTTCCTGTATTCATTTTCAGCATTTACTCTGTGTCAGGTATTGTTCTGTTCACTGGGGGTAAAACATTGGACAAGAGAAAAAGCCTCTGCCCTCCTAGAGCTTATACTTCAGTAAAGAAAATCAACAAACTTATCATCAAGTAGGGATAAGGATGTGCTACAAGGACATGTTGTTGTTGTCATTGTGTGCTGTAGAGTCACTGTTGATTCATAGTGACCCCACATGACAGGGCAGAATTGCCCCCCATAGAGTTTCCTAGGCTGTCATCTTTAGGGAAGTAGATCACCAGAACTTTGCCCCTACAGAGCAGCTGGTGGTCTTGACCTGCCAACCTTTTGGTTAGCAGCTGAGTGCTTAACTGTTGTGCTAACAGGCCTCCTGTGTCCGAGGATTTTGTGTTGGTGCAGAGGAACTGTGCTATTTTACAGAAGGGATTGAGCAAGCCATCTCTCAGAGGGGACACTTGTGCAGAGGCTCCTAAGATCAGAGGGGGTGGGTCATATGGACAATTGGTCTAGCCATTTCA